GATTGGCTGTGAATTGGGGGACAGGCTCCCTGGGCAGCCAGACCTTTGCTCTTGTACTGTCTGGGAAGGGCGCCCTCCTTTGCGCCCCCGGATATTCACCTGCAACTGCAAGAGTCTGGCGCGGGGACCATGTATCCCCATTCGCCACTTGTGAGGTCGGAGTGTGGATGGGATGTAGCCTGTGGCACCACAGCAACACCTACCGTAAACTTTAGGGCTTCTGGGTCGTCTCAAAGTTCAAGCTTCTTAGAAGCAACAAAGACTTTCTAAAGATCTTCCCGCCCCCCACCCCCCCAGCGCCCTTGTTTCACTTTTCTCTTGCTACACGCACTCGGCCCCCTTTCTTTCTAAGGCTTGGGGATGCGTTTAAATCATTGTGCTCCCATTTCTTGATAACTGCCTGCTTTGAGCTTTTGTTCTCTTAAAGTAGGATTGCACACTGAAAGAGGGGCTGAAGATGAACAGTTTGACCCTTCAGGACAGTTCACGCAATGGGCAGGAGCGGCCCTCGGTCACCATCCTCGCTGACGCTATTCACGCCCTCCCCTCCCCCCTCACATAACATTTCAGCCTCGTTTCATCTGGACAATCTTGAAGACCACACAAGTGCCTCTTGAATTTATTGAAGTTAAAAGAGTGCTAGAAGAGTCCAGCTAAGGATATTTAGCATTAGTTATGTCTTCGCAAGGCTGAGTACAAATCGAAATGGCCTTTCCCCAGCAAAACCGTGCAAAATGCTGAACAAACAGAATTCTGCTATAGGTGACCGAGAATGAACGGTTGGTCTCTGAATTGCACGGGCGTTTTTAGCTTGTCCTTGGAGTCGTTTCTTGTCTTTTTAAAAATGATATATTTTTTATGGTGAGAAATATTTCCAGAAGCGGTCTGTTATCAAGAATGAGGCAGATCTCGAAGGCTACAGTACAAACACACAACCAAAATTCTGAGTTCCAGATATATAACGGGTGACTTATTCTTACAACTGTACTTTGCACAGTCAATGGAACATGCATCACTGCATATACCCCCAAAACTGTTACTTTAAAAATAAAAATTTATGCGTCCCATAATCTTTATATTTTAATGGATTAGAGATTGATTTATATCACTGTTTGAATATGTACACAACCCCAAGTTTCTTGATATGGTTGGAATACTTTTTCTTTTGAAGGAAAATTCTAAAATAGGAAATGTGCCACTTACTTTTATACTATGTTAACATTAAAAACATCTGCATGAGATATACTTAAATATGCATTATTAGCTTCCCACTCACAGCTGTGATATAAGGTTTAGGTTTTGTCAAAGGAAAGCATGGGCCCTCTCAGTGAATCATAAAAACATAAAATCCTGGAAGAATATGAAAATTAGGGAGTTAGATGCCCAAATACTGTTAACAATCAAACAAAACAAACAAACAAAAGATCCATTGTGTGTTTCACTAGCACTAAGTATTAGACCAAGCTTGACCTCATTGTTATTTGGGGTTATCCAAGGCTCACTGGGTTTCCCTTTAAACCTGTACTTAACTGGATTCCAATTCTGTTTTTCCTTCAAATATATTTTATCATTAAGTCAACCCAGCACTTCCTACTTGAACCAAAATGTTAAAGAAACTTGTCCAAAGACAGGCATTTCCACTGATACAAAAATAAACCTTCCTTTGTTTTTCATTGCATTAATCTATTGGTTTGTATTTCTTTGCAGGCAACTCCTATGGAGAGATATAGATATCAAAAGGTGAACAGACCATGCTTCCTTCCATCATTTCAGTATTTAGTCTTAACAGTATTTTATAATTTCCTAGAAACCTAGTTTTCTTATCATTTATTTCATTCAATTTTATAAACAAACAAAAATACAAAAATTCTACATCCACTCCCACATGTTCCTCCAATCCTTGCTAGACTAGACAGGGCCACACCCTTGGCAGTTCTTTTTTTTTTTTAATGGGGACAAAGAGAAGAGGTTTTTTTTTTTTGTTGTTGTTGTTGTTGTTTTTAAGTTGGAGTCTCACTCTGTTGCCCAGGTTGGAGTGCAGTGGCACACTCACAGCCATCCCAGCATCGACCTGCTGGGCTCAGAGATTCTTTCACCTCAGCCTTCCAAGTAGCCAGAACTACAGGCATGCGCTACCACGCCCGGCTAATTTTTGATGTATTGTAGAGACGAGGTCTCGCCAAGTTGCTCAGGTTGGTCTCGAACCCGCGAGCTCAGACAATCCAAGAAGAGCATTTGCTTACTTGCTATCAGTGATCATTGCCCGTAAAGTAATGCTCATGTGCACATGCTACCAAGGTTAGCACTTCTGGCATCTTTCTATTTTTTGCTTGATCAGATCCTTTATGAAGTTCTGATTCTGTAGGTTCATGTTGCAGAGGCCGAGACCCAAAGACGGGAGAGAGGCAGGTGCTGTGTGCTGGATAGAACAGACATGTTTCCTTTTTCTTCTTTTTCATTTCTGCACTTCGAGCGAAATAATTGAGAAGAAAACTGGGGAAATGATTATTTCAAATTTAGGGATTGTTCTAAAAAAGGGAAGAAAATGAAAACACAAATATCAAAGAACAAAATGAAAATCATAATAGTTTTCAAATAATCTCGAGACAGAGGGAAAGTCTGAAGGTATGAGAGCAGCAACAGGCAAGTCTATTCCATAGGATTCCAGTTTTCATTTTCTTTATTTTGTGCCATCCAATTCTGCTTGTTATCTCCCTGCAGAAAACCTTAAACAAATTAAAGCCATGCCCAAACACTAAAAGCCACTTTCATCCCCCTCTTCTCTGAAATACAACTTGTTTCCTACTCTCACAAACCGAGGGATACAGAGCCCAGAAGACACGACTCTCTTTTCCGTGCCCTTTTCCACTCCTGGCACTCCAACCGCGCCATGCTTGCACTTAGTTTGCAAAAGAAATCTCGAGGGACGCCCCTCCGGTCTACTGGAGTCCAGATCCATCCCCACGTAGACAAGAGGGTGGGCGTGAGCGTGGGGGAGGGGGAGGGGTGACAAGCAGTTCAGAACAAGTTTCCTCCGAAGTCCAGTCGTCCATCAGCTCTTTTTTCTCATTGAAAAGCGTCAGAATCGGGAGGACGGGCCCCATGTCCCTACAACGCCCCCCAGCGCGGAGCAGAGGTCACGGAAATGTCAGAGCAGCCCATTTGCTCGCAGGAGCAGGGCTGCTGCTCCTGCACGGCTCTCTGCCACCCACGCAGGGAAGCCTCCTTGCTGTTCCGTCGGGCTAGAAAGTGGGGTTCGTCCCCAAACCTGCGTCAGTGTCGGGGCCTTAGCTCGCCGCTGGTAAAATAAGGGAGTTCCTTTCAGCTCTCCCACGTGGGCGTTTTTATTTTTCACATCCTCTCAAAAGCCCATCGACTGCCCCCCCTCCCGACCTCCCTTCCAGGAGACCCCTCGATGAATTCCCAGTGTTCTCTCCCAGTTTCTCCAGACCCCAAACCCGCTGGTCCACGAGGGGCCCACTGCTCGCCACCCACCCGCGTTTCCGCCCCCGACCAAAGGAATGAGTTTAAAGCTCGTCTACTACCTGATATAGCCCCTAAGAGGCTTTGCCAAAAGACGCCCGGCAGCACCACAGGGCTAACTGCTTCCCCCGGGATTCTGACCCCCATTAACTAATTCCCAGCTCCCATCGCCCCGGAGCCAGGAGGCCCGGCAGCGCCGGGTGAGGTGCGCGCGCGCGCCGGGGCGGGGGGAGCCTCGGCGGCCGCGAGGACGGAGGCGGGGGTGGGAGCCCGGGCCCCCCCATCCGCCCCCAGCGCTCGGGCCCCTAATGAGCGGCTGAAAGGGAGCGGGCTCCGGCGCGCGTGGCTCGCAGGCCTCCCGGAGTCCGGGGCGCCCTGATTGGCCAGCTGCGCCTCGCGACCTCCATTCATTAATAAATTAGCGGCACGCTCCAGCCGAGCGCGAGCCACCAATCACAATGGACAGCGGCGGCGACAACAGCCGCAGCTTGAGCCGCTGCGGCCGCCGCGGCTTCGCCAGCTCTGGCCGCAGCCTGGAGCTCCAACAGGAGCTTTAGAACCATTTTATGCTGATTAGAAAAAGGGGGGAAAGCCGGGCGGGGGTGGTGGGAGGAGGAGGAGGATGGATGGCAGGGCCAAGGGAGGGGGGAACAGGGCGAAGAAAGAGAAAGAAATGAATGATGATAATGCAAT